ATAAAGCGTGTATTAACTTCTTTACCAGTTGCTAAATGTGTTTGCTTCCAATGGTGACAAAATACTCCGACTAAGCGGCACGCAATGAATAAAACACACCGGGATAACAGCTTCCAGTGTTGGAAAAGTTCACCAAAACTCATAATGACTCTCGGACTATTCCCTGATTCTTACCCTTATTCGTGAAATATCGTTAACTTTTCAGATGCTGATAGCTTCAAAACTGCTGCTGCGCAATACAATGAACGATATGACGTAATTATCGCTTTTCACTCAAGCGTCGAATTCACACAATCAACAACACAAATCAACATTACCAATAGATAGAGGATTGTCTTATCTGTCCGTTGGTGTTGTTTTGTTACTTTGCGTGATAGATCACCCCATGACGTCATCAACAAAGTTTTGCCAGTTCAGGGAGCTTTTTTACTCGGAGTTTATTTTTGATTAGTCTACCCTGTAATGGTGGCTTCAGAGATTTTGAGTTCCTAAAGGCGTAACAGTTTCTTAACCAACATTATTTTGAGCTTCTAAAGGCACAGCAGCTTCTTGATCAAAATGATTTTGAGCTTCTAAAGGCGCAACAGCTTCTTAATCGATGAGCTTCTAAAGCGCAACAGCTTCATAATTAAAAAGACTATGAGCTTGTAAAGCCGCAACAGCTTCATGATGAAAATTATTTTGAGCTTCTAAAGATGCAACAGCTTCTTAGTCAGAATGATTTTGAGAATGTAAAGGTGCCACAGCTGCTTAATGACATGATTTTGAGCTTCCTAAGGCGCAACAGCTTCTTATTCAAAATGATCTTGAGCTTGTAAAGTCGCAACAGCTTCCTAATCAAATTTATTTTGAACTTGTAAAGGCGCAGCAGCTTCTTAATTAAAATGAGTTTCAGCTTTTAAAGGCGTAACAGTTTCTTAATCAAAATGACTATGAGCTTGTAAAGCCGCAACATGTTAAAGGATGTCCTACATCAAATTGAATCACGGAAAAAAAAACGATGTAGAAAATTACCTAGTTGACTGATCCTTTTCAAACCTTCAGACAATAAAATATAACCCATTAGTAAGCTTTTGGCATATTTGTTTCATTAAACTTCAATACCATAACCGTACGCTCGCACCTTACGCTTAACTCCACTCATTAGGTTCTGTACAACATCTGGCTGCAGCTTCTTCTGTACGGAAACCCATTTTTCTTCATGTCTTCCTCAGATTTGACTTCCTTGGGATGCTTCCGTAGTGCTTGTCTCATAATAGCCCAGTATTTTTCGATGGGCCTTAGTTCGGGTGCGTTGGGAGAGGGGGTTCATGTTCTTGGGTACGAAAGTGACCCCGTTGGCTTCGTATCACCATAGTGGCCCAAAGTAAGATCCAGCCAGAAGATCGTAGGGCCCTCGTGTTGCTTCAACAGAGGAAGCAGACGCTTCTGTAGACACTCCTTGAGGTAGATCTACCCGTTTACAGTCCCGGTAGTCACGAACGGCGCACTCCGTTTGCCACATGAGCAGATCGTTTGCCAAATCATGTATTTCTTGGCAAACTTTGAAAGTTTTTGCTTCCTTACTTCCTCCGGAACATCAAACTTGTACGGTGAAGAACAGTAGCCTCGGAAGCTGCCTTGACGTAAGTCTCATCAACCATGATGAGACAATGAGGTTTCGTCAGCATCTAGGTGTACAGTTTCCGGGCCCGCGACTTTCCCACCGTATTTTGCCGTTCGTCACGATTTGGAGACTTCTCCACTTTGTGCGTAGGGTTTTTGATCTAATTTCCATCCTACTAAGCACAACGCGCACTTTACATCTCTTTCCTGAACGAGTTTAAACTAAAAATGGAATTTTTCTGTCAAAGATGACTTCTAAATTAATTCACCTTTCCAGACGTACCGTGGGATTTGATAAAAAGCCACAAATTGTTGAGATATTGTTTAAAATCTAATACTGCTTCTTGATTCTAAATTCGTTCTACGAGTTTCAATTCCGTCCTAACGCATTGAAACGCCATTAGATTTTCTTCGTCCTACGGATAAACGTAGAAAAAGGGGATTTGCAGGGAGCGCTTCTTTTGTTTTGAGAACAATGAGCGTAAATATTCATACAATGCGCTCTAACCGGGTTTATGTTGTAGCTAATGAACTAACGCATCGGAACAAACATATTATTGATTTGTGCACGGTGAAATCATTGATATTTTTGATCTTTTCTGATCGATAGAACGGAAATGGGCGATTACGACGAAGTAGCGCTCTACCCTATGCAGTCCCTCCCGGTCCTTGGCTCTCTAAAAAAAAGCTAGGACAGATTCAACTTTTCGATGCTCAGAGTTTCGTAGTAACGTTTTATGATACGACTCACCGTTGACTGCACGATTCTGAGTTGTTTTCCGATGTCCCGACGAGAGAGTTGAGAATTTTCCAGGTGCTTGCGTAAAATCAATTCGCGACGTTGTTTTTTTGGGTGACGCCATTTTTTCCAACTTTCGAAAAACTGACAGTGATGAAAATGCAGTGTAAACAATACACTCTAAACCAGTGTTGGAAACGTTCGCGATATTTCACGAAGTTCACCAAGGGAAAAGTTCGCGAGTCATAGTGAGTTTTCGCGAACTTTTCAATCACTGCTCTAAACTAAACTCTACCCAAATTTTCAAGAGAAAATACCAAATGAGATTTTTTCTACAGCGTTTTTTCCGTGATGCAATTTGATGTGGGACACCCTTTATTCTGTGCCATACAATCATAAATTATGATTGCCCTGTAATGGTGGTTTTGTATGGCTGCGCATTTACGTAATCAGATATTTTCAGAGATTTTGAGCTTCTAAAAGTGCAACAGTTTCTAAATCAAAATGATTTGGAGGTCTTAAAGGCGTCACAGCTTTTAATCCAAATTAATTTGAACTTCTAAAGGCGCAGCAGCTTCTTGATGAAATTATGTTGAGCACGTAAATGCGCAACATAAATTGAAGTGCTGCCTGACTAGTCCAAATTTTACAAGAGTTTCAAAATAGTTTCGATCATAATCTGAAAAACAAAAACTTTAGTCTTTGGTTTCACATTCTAACACCTTGTAAACAAGCTCCCTGAACAATTGGCGCAAAAAAGGGGGGGGGGACCAGCTCCCCAAAGAATTTAAGGAATAAATACCGGAGCAATGTATTTTTGCATTGCATAGAGGAATTGCGATGTTTTATTTTTCAGATTACCGTAAATAAACTCTGCTGCTGTCTGTAATTATTTGCCTATTCACGGCTGCTGATTGGCCTTTACATTTAATTCGTTTTGCTGTACGAAAACGTCTCTTATAATCAGGTTAAATATCTTCATTTGTTTTGAAGATATGTCTTTGAATTTCTGTGAAAAAGTGTTTCTGATCTTCTGAACCTATTAATTTTTCAAGTCTTTTAAAAACATTCAGAGAACTTTATTGAAATCATATTGGAAATCCATGGATATCAACTAAATTCTATAAAACTTATGCAAAATTCCTTGTACTCCTACAAAGTTTCTTTAATTCAATTTCATGAGCTCAAATAAGGTTCCCTGAGCTTCTTCCTAATCCATTTAACCTATATCTGTGCCTCTATGATGTTCGCTAAGTATGTGGAAAGTTATGCGAATCGCTGGAAAATTGTGTCCACTTCTACGAAGTTTTCTGAACTTATACGATTTATTTATGGCTTTCACAAACTGCAACTATTTTATATACCAAGATTGCTTGTAAATATTTTCTATATCCATTCACATTTCCCGGAAATTGGATCAAGCTCTTAATACATCATGATGAATTTCTACAATATTCCCATGTACAAAACTCCCTGAATTCCACAAAATTCTAGAAAATCTAGTCGAGCTGTTATGAAGTTTTCTGAACTTCTACATAATTCCTTACGCTTCAAAGAACTTTGCGAAGTTTCTCGGTTATAATTTTAAATCGCTCAACTTGTAAAAAGATCGCTGAACTACCCTTCTATGAAGCTTTCAGAATTTTTAAGAACCTTCTATATTTATAAAAACAGAGTGGCATACATAAGACCGTACATAACTCAAGAATGGATCGTCCGATTGGTGCTGTCTTCTTTTGTTATGTGTTCATCACTGGCCGAGAAGCATGTTTACAACAAGAAATTTGTAAAATTTTAAAGGAAAATTGGAAAAGTCAGAGAACTATCTTCTTTTCTTCTATATATAAAACAGAGTGGCATACATCGGGAATGCTTGAAGTTTACGTTGGTTAGGACTTAGTTTTCCGGGTCTGCTAGTTTCGTATATTTTCTGTTCCCTGAAGATCTAAAAACAAAATCTTATGCAATTCCCTAGACTATTCTTAATGAATTTGTTTAAGAAATGCTAAAGATAAAATAAGGTCTCGGAATTTTAATAGAGTTTCCTGCAATAACAAATAAATGTTCCCCACTTTAATTACGAAGTTTAAAAAAAAACTTTAAGCTCTCCAAATTTATATTAGATTTCAAACATTTCTACGATTTTCCTTGAAGCCACTAACGTTTTAAGAAACTCAATGAAGGCAAAGAATGAAATTCTACTAAATAATTTGCATTTCTACCAAGGTCACTGATATTTTACGTAGCTCTCTGGAATTCTGGAGCTTTTTCACAAATACGTGAACTGCAATACATTTTGTTTCATTTCTAGAAAATTTCCAGATGTTTTACGCAGCTCCTGAAGTTCTAAAAAGTTTACAAGTGCTATGAAAGTTCTGAAGATTTATGAAGTTCCAAGAATTTATTTAACACATTTTAAACAGTATCCCAACAATCTACGAAGTTTCCACAAATCAATCTCTCAAGTCATAGCTTCTACGAATGTCCATTATTGTTTTCAAGAAGGTCCCTAAACTTCTGTAAAAACTCAGTTTAAAAAATCTGAAAGAGTGAACATCTTTTGCCATCCGTAATTTTTTAATGTGGAATTGAAGATATTTTGTCCATCTCCCAATACTACCGATGGTTTATGGTTTATTGTTACTCTACAACGTACCTTGGATGCCCGGGCGACCATGCTCGGTACAGGAAACAATCCAACGGCTCGTTCCCGGACGTAAGGAACATCCCCTTGATCGTTTCATTCAACCCAACGTAAGCTCTTTCAGTTTTGTTGGTAGCATTCTTCAGCATAGGGCCTTCGGTGGCCACCATTTTCGACAGCATGTTGGTTCTCACTTCACTGGCCACGTGAGCCAAACTGCCACCCAACGATCGGCATTCGTTCGACGCTAGGGAGTAATTGACTTTGCGATCGCTGAAGACGAACATTCCGACCGACGGGAGGCACGTGACATTCCCGGAAGCTGAAAGCGTTTGGATGTAGTGGAAATTTTAGACTAAATCGTTGACTAATCGACACTTACGGAGTGGTCTCGTGTACAGACTGTAGTAATCGAACCGGGTATCGTTGACAATCGTCGAGAGGTGCTGATTCTCGGGACATTCCAGAACCTGGCAGTTGAAAAATTCCTCTGGATCGGTGGTGATGGTGTCCGTTCCCTTCGGAACAATGGCTGATCGGTTTGCTTTAATCGCTTGTTGAGCTTTCAGCACATCGAACAGGTTCGTGTCGTTCCGATTCTTGGGACCGAAATTGAATGCCATTCCACGCTTCTTCCGGGCGTATTCGGCACATTCCGCTACGGTTTCGGTATTGATCAAGCCAACTATGGTTCGATTGGATCTCTGACAGTGGCGCAGTGCATGGAAGCGGTGTTTAATGCGACGACGATGTCGAGAGCACGTTTGATCACCTGTGATGGCGGTTAGCATTATGATGAAATATACGATTGCATTCAGCAATTGCATGACGTGAATTGAACCGGTAGTTCTGACTTGCCGAGAGTAACTGAAAACCGTCACGATTTGCGGAAGTTGAAACTTGCTGGGAACGGTTAGTTTTGAGTGACAGATGAAGAGTGTCGTTTCGGATGAAATAAGCAGTCGGCTGTCTGTTGATTGCTGAAACTGTTACCAGATTATCACTCACATTGTTTTCCACTGTGTTTATTAAATACTTTCCAAGATTTAGTTGTTCACTTTATTCTAACGTTCTTTTATAGAAGCTCACCACAGATTGTTTGCTCTATTTTTTTATTTTTATGTTAGAGTTTCACGTTTCCCTCGTATTTTCTTTTGTTTCGTTTACCCATTCCTAACAGAGTTTTAGTTTTACTTGCTATGTCCAACAATAGAAATCTGCTTTCCTATATATATATTTTTTTTCTTAAAAATGTTGCTTTGTTTCATTTTTTGTTCTCTACTAAACACTATCTTTGATTGAAACAGTAAAAAGTCATCTTGGAGTTGGTAAACATTTTGTACTGAGATTTCTTAACCGAACCAAAGTCGCGAACCGAAAGTCGTGTGCTAATGACAACATAGTACTGACATAATTAATGATTTCAACAGGTTGCTTTCGCTTAGTGGAGAGTTGGCTCGTTTTTTGTTGTTGTTATATTTGTGCCTCATTCTAGTTTTCCACTATATGACTAAATTACACTGATGAAAATTCGACGAATGTTCATTTGCAGCTTGAGCTATTGCCAAAGAATTGTATTTATATGATTTCAGCTATGTTTTCGATATGTTATGACTGTTTCAGCAAACGTTTCTCTACTTTCCTTGTGTTTGGTGATGTTTTTTTGGTACTTCTATTTAACTTTATGCCGACACGTTATATTGTATATGACTAAAGGATCAATTATATTTTCTCAGTAGATTTTCTCAGTTGTTTCATCTCATACAAATCTAGTCTACGTGGTTGTTCCTGTGCGGGGAGAAATAGCTCCGGGAGAATACCACAGCACGGGGAACGTTTGCTTTGCTCGGTGGAATGTTTTCGTTTTGAGTTTCAATGTTTAAGTTATGCTTGCAAAGTTTGACTTCGCGTCTTCTAGAACTTATAAATGTGCCTTAATGGATGGCTAAACAATGGGTGAATGACGGATGAAAGAACTCCGGGTGGTTCTACTAGGTAGTTTTCTTTTCATTCCTGTTTTGCATTAAATGAGGGAAGATGGTAGTGGTACGAAAGGATGTCTTATTTGTTCATTGTCTTTATGTTTTTTTTTTCGAGTAGAGTAAAACTTAGTTTACGGCAGTCTTTTAATTTTTTTTTGCTCTTGCAATATCGCATAGAATTGCACTACACAACGCAAAAGGTTAGAAGTGAGAAAAAAAACTTATCACAAAAACGTCTACTTGTTTATAGAAAAACTCATCAAAACATATCAAAAGTGCTTCTTTGCTTGCTTTCGTTCGCGCTCGCTATGCTCATCGTTTTCGTTCGTTTCGTGTGCACTCGTTTGTTGTTGTTTTTTTTTTGGTTGAGTTTTTGTTCTCCTTTCGCAACTTTGCTTAATTTTGAGGCTCTCTACTCTACTTAGAATCTAAAGTAGCACATCTATTAGTGTTATTCTTTTCATTTTGTTTTCAGTAGATCAACTATAAAGCTAGCCTCCTTCATGTGTGGTTCGTTCCATGTCAGGGCACTTTGGTAGATATTTAGAATCCTTTACAAAAACTGCTGAAATACATGGTTTAGAAGTTATTAGTTTGTTGTATAGTTAGATTTACAGTACCAGACAAAATAATATCACCTAGTGATTTTTTGTTCTTCGAAAACGTTTAAATAACTGTAATTATTCCGGATGTTCATGAAATTTTCTAAAACCTTGACTGCGAGTTGAACAAGTATTCAAAAATGATTGGTACTATTTCGAGCGTGATTGGCTGATTCTGCATGAAGTTTGAGCAATTTGAGTAAAACGCATCATTATTAAGTATCCTGTTTGAACCTGCAATTTCTGGAAATATAATAAACCAAATAAGCAGAATTTTGACGATTTCTTAGATGTCTTTAGGTAGAAATAACATTAGATGCAAATTTCTACGAAGTATATCATAACAACACTAACGCTAACATAACATTGCAAATTATTCAAAACTATTCAAAATGCAAACATAATTGATCATTTTATATTTTTTGAAAACCGAACCGAACTTTTAATGAAATTAGCCCAATCGTTAACGAAAACAATAAATTGTGCGTAATTTTTGCTTATTGCTAAAGTGATTTTGAACAATGTTTAATAATCCTTTTATGCTTTCAATAATGCAGCAATAAAAAGGTTAGCGACGCCGGTGGTGTAGTGGTTACCTCTCACCCCAGCAGGCCTGGGTTCAATCCCAGTTGGCCAACTGGGCCGCCGGGATGTTCTGAGGCATAAAATCTCTGAACACGAAAGTAAAACCGTTGGAAGGGAAGTAAAGCCGTTGGTCCCCGGTTCATGAGTTGATGGGTCGATTTTTTTAAATTCTACATTTTGTCTCATTTGATTGCTACATTAAAATGAACTGGAATATAATTGTTATGTGCTTTATACACCGTTTTCATTTAGAAAATAGTTAATATTTTAAATCATGCTAATGTGAAACAGGAAATTTAAAAAAAAAAAAACGTTGAAAGTTAAACGTATTAAACTGTAGTATGCTAGTTTTCGTAATAGCCATTCAAGTTCAATCGAATCGATCATGAGACAAAAAAGATGCACGTGGACTAAATTAGGTTTAGTTTCAAATTATTTTTTCATAACAGTCGAAATCGTAGTCGATACTATTTCTTCAACTCCGACTCCGATTACTTATGCTCAAAAATGTGTGCGACTCTAAATCCACGACATCGATTCCGACTCCACAGCCCTGGAAATACCTACCTAATAAATTCTACTCATATCAACTATTTCTTTCCTCCAGAAGTTCTCATCAGAATTCTCTAAGCTCTTGGAACGTAGTTATTTAAAGCTAAATTCTTCTTTGAATTCCTTTGGAACTATGTTGATGAGAAGGAGGTGGACCTGTTTGCTTAAAATCTCAATAGTAGAGGTATAAAAAATATGATTGAAAATCTTAAAATTAAGATTTCATTGAAAATCTATTCACAATTCTCTTGGAATTCATGACATTCAATTTCAGAAATTTCTTGGAGTTGAAAAAAATTTCTTGGGATATTCATTATTTTTTTAGAATTCTGCTCAAATTTAATTTGGGTTTCATCTTAAAACTCCCCAGGACTCATAAAAATCCCTATTGATTTTTTTTCAGAATTACCGTGCAATGCTTCTCAATGTTTCACTGGAATTCTCCATAGAATTTACCTAAGGCTCTCCTCTCAAAACCCATGAAATCCTTTGCAGAATATGTTCTGGAACTCCGTTGGTATTATTTTACATTGGAATTATCCCAATTTTCATCGTAATTCTCTTGAAAATTCCAGCCATTCCTGCCTGGGCTTAAAATCTTGATATTTGTGTTCAAAGATGGGATCGTGGAAAATTTTCAAAGTCCAACAACTTCAAATCTATTTTTAGTCTTGAACATATTGGAAATAACTGTCCTGGATCTTATTTTTGTTTTTAAAGTTAAAGATTTCTAAAAAAAAATTCTACACTGAAAAAGAAAGCAAAACTCAGAGAGTGTGACACTTTTACTCAGTTGTGAGTCATTTTTACTCATTCGCATGGAGAAATTTCTAAAAGCGAATGTCACACAGCGCATGAGTTACCTACGCTTTGGAAATTTCGATATACGAATGAGTAAAAGTGCCTCAGATTCGGTTTCAGTGTAAGTACAACAACAGTATGAGTATTTTCAAAAATATGACATAACCATAACCTGTTCAGTTAAATAGCGTTCTCTCTAGTGGCATTATAATAATTTTCAAAATTCTTATATCTCGTTAGACCAGAGCAGTTCCACGCCAAATGACGAATCGAAAAAAAAACCCAACCTTCTCAAATTTCCATTATTCCGGATTTGGGCGTAATTGCATTTGTAAATAAGCACGTCAATTGCCCAATATTCGCAAACAAATCTCAAAATCTAATAACACTATCAGGTAAAGGAATGATCCCTCTATCATTTGGTATAATTTTTTTACAAGATTAAGGTTTGGTTCTAGAGAAATTTGCGATTTACGTGTTTGTTTACAAAAGCAATTACTCCCAAATCTCAAATCACTCCGGAATTGTGTTACGGGAAATCATTCACATTTAAAAAAAAAATCGGCCATGTAATAAATTGTAGAACGAAAACGTCACTTCTGCTTGAAATGACGTCTGAGACAAAATGAAGTCTTTCTGGGAAAAACATATTTTTTTTATTTTAAGAATTTCAAGAAAATGTTAAAAACTCAAATATCTCAAAAAGCATATCCTGAATTTTTTAAATTAAAAACAATGCTTATGAAAAATTTAAACTTTTTTAATATTTGAAACTGTGCACACTTGAAAATTAGCAAAAATCTTCGAACAAGAACTGTTGTTCAAATATTTGAACTTGTTGCTATTACGATTTTTATGTAATGTCTACACAACAAATAATATTTGGGACATTCTTAGTCGTTAACTGTGCCAAAATTTTATAAAAAGCTAGATAACAAGAAGTTGGAAAATATTACCATAAGTTGATGTTCAACAATTTGTGTCAATTTTTTAGTGTCCATGATTTTCCTAAAAATTGAATTTTTTGTGAGGTTTATTTAAAAAATAAATTATAAATATTGAAGGTATACTTTTTAAAATATTTCAGTTTTCAACACTTTTTAATTTTTTCAAAATTACTAAAAAAGTCACCGTGTATATTTTTTCCAGAATTATTTTACTTACCTTAAAAACTTTGTCTAAGTCGGCAATTAGATCAAAAGTGACGTTTTAATGCTACGATTTATGGAATAATATAAAAGCTGCCATTTTGAAAAAAAAATCAAGATAAAAAATGGCCGAATTTCACGAATGATTGCTCATAACACATAATTATGTAAAGCTGCATGCACATCGTGCAAGGTCGATATTAATTTGTTTATATTATTTAGCTTGACACTGGTCCCCTTCTAAATTTAAGTAAATTACTTTTGTTACTGAATTAAGGTAACTCTTCCTGGCACATTCTTTTTCTTTAATACATCCCTAATGCTCTCAACTTAGTGTTATTAATGCCCTTCCACAGCTGTTAATTGAGAGCTAAGCCTGTAGAATTTTCGTGTGGCAGGGAGGTAGAGACATTTTCCAAACCAAAACATTCCTAGACTTGACCGGAAATCGAACCCAGCTCTTATAGTACCTCCTTTACCGACTGAGCTAAGAGAGGCTCCTACTCCCCTCTGGCTATATCCATGGATTAAATGTAAATGAAATGAATTTATTGGAACATTTGTGAAATAGAAACTCTTTCAATTCGCCCCTTCGTTCTGGCCACATGTCCGTAACGATTTGACCGATTCCAAAGATATTGAATTGCGATCTATCGGAACATGGTACCATTCACTTGCCACTTCTCACGTCCAATCTGTGCACTGGTTGGCGAAAACCCTGTCATGGTTCTTTTTACCCCGTTGGTGACGGTTATTTGCACGCGTTTCGAACGTTTTTAATCATTCCAAAAATTGGTGAAAAAACATTAACAATTAGACAAAAAAAAAAATTTAAAAAAAATCTGGCCGCAGGCTCATTAATATGTATCACAGTTAAAAAGTAAATTTTCTTGCGGTTTTATCCCGTCTTTCCCTATGGGAAAAAGAGCTATAAGGGGAAAGGGACCATGAAATAATTACATCAGAAGTTTTTTTTTGATTTTTCCAACGCATCTCCTCCTCCACAACATTTACATGTTCTGTATTCTTCATGCTTACGTAAGAGGTATTTCTGAAATTCCCTCTCTCTCTCTTGTAAGAAAACGTATGAGCCTTCCATTCATTTTGACTAAAAAAATGTTTTATGAAAATTTCCAATTATATTCATACGTAATTATTGCATGGCCCCAAATTATCCTTATTATATTGGTAGGGATGAGTTTTGAATAATGAAAAATCAACATCATCGTTACAAAAGCAAGTAGGTGGCTGTGACGCGTTATAACATTTCACTCTTGAACCGCGAAATAAAAGTTTTTCTACCAGGTGCCCCGACAATTACCTATTGTACCTGTCTCTTTTAGTCCACCTACCTACAATACCCGCAAGCTTCCTAATTACTATTCTCTATCAGTGCATCCTTCTCACTTTCGCTAAAGTGATTTGCATTTGTGCTATTCTTATCGTTTAGGAGTGGAGTTTTCACATCGGCTTCCTCGGCTTCCCCGTTGAATAGTGGTTTCGTATCTCCATCCGAATTCGATTCACTGCTACTTACCACGGTGGTGCTGATCGCTTGCTGATGCTTGTGTTCTGAATTCAGTTGTTGCTGCTGCTGCTGCTGCTGCTGCGGCTGCTGTTGATGGTGTTTGTTCGAAGCAACCGTATTCGATGTACTGCTGACCTTCATCTCTACGTATTCTTGATTTAGGCGAACGCTGTTGGGACTGGTAGTACTGGAAGAAACCGAAGTGATTGGGTGGGCAGGCGAACCGATGGGAAGTGCCGGTGGAGATTCTTTGGGTTCATCGACCTCCTGAACGGTTTCCATCGTGGTCACCGGAAGGATAGGTGAAGCATTCTTCGGGACCTTTCCCTGCAGATAGTAGGTCATCAGTTGACCTTTACCCTTCACGGCTACCAGACCTCGCTGCTCGAAGGTGTACCCGAACGTTTGCAGGATTTGGCAGGTCTCTTCCGTCACCTGTATTCAGAAATGTCCTCACAAATTACCAACATTCAGTGCTTGCCAAATTAGTACTAACCTGAATGGCACCCGCCTTCCCGGTACTTTCCATCCGAGATGCCACATTCACCGTGTTTCCCCAGATGTCGTAATGTGGTTTTCGTGCACCGATGACACCCGCCGTGATTGGGCCATGATTGACGCCCATTTTCAGTACGAAGTGGTTGAATGATTGTTCGTTGATTCCTTGCAAAGCTTTCTTCAGTTCCAGGGCAAATTCCACTAGCAGCGCCAGATGGGCCCAACGCACCGAAATGGGATCCTCCGGTTTAACGATCCGCGATGGATTTAGTCCACTTGCTGCCATGTAGGTCGAGCCGATTGTCTTGATTTTAATAACATCTTGGAATTGAGGCAGTTCGAGGAGCTGTTGGAAAATTTACTTTCTTATTAATACGTTCCCCCAACGACAAACAAACAAACAGCAACACTTACCGCATCAAAGTCCGATATCACCTCGTTAAGAAAGCGCAAACACTCCAACCCCTGGTTGTTTACCGTTTCCTCCGAGTAGAAATCGGAAAAATTGGGCATGCTAGCAAACAGGACGCCCACCTCCGCGTAACTCTGGGAATACAGTTCATCGTGGGATCGCTTCCGGTTGCCCATAAAGTGCTCGGCCACGTGCATCGGAAGCACATTATACACCAGGGCCTCATTACGTCGGCGCATGTCACTAGCCCGCTCCTTCTGGTCGCTGACTTCGGTTTTCCACATAAAAATTACCCGGTCCACCTTGTCGATCTGAAAGGAATTCAATAGAAATGTGGCTTGGAGTGGAATCTTTTTTTTTGTGGTAATGACCCATCGTTCTATGTACTTACATGCCGTGCCAGAAGAGAAAGTGCTATCGTCACCGCAATCAACAGCGCCGACAGAGTGTATCGCAGGGGAAATCTGTGAAATGGAGGTGTTAATTGAGGTAGAGAAAAGGCGAGAAATGAAAAATAAATTAGGGATTGAAATTTGGACCTTTTCCCACCGTCGGCCGGCCGTGGGGTGAGGTTTCGCAAAAAAAAAAACAAAAAGTTTGGGATTTTGTTTGCGAAACCATACAAAAACCACACGGCACGTGTAGCAGGATTTGGAAATGGATTTGTGTACTGTGTTTGTTTGTGTCGATTTAAGTTTGATAAAAGCTTTGTGGGTCATTTACACATTCATTATCTCGGAATCCTCGTTTCGGAATGCTTCGTCCAGGTGGAAGATATTGATGTAACAGTGAATAGCTGCGTCCAAGGGAGGGAAAAAATGTTGAATATTCATAGCTTTGAGAATACTACGAAATAATGAATGGTTTTATGTTTACATAGAATTACGACCTCTATTATCCGCTTGTGCTTCTATATGTTTGTCCCGGAACAGAGTAAATCGCCTCTCGATGGTGATCTGTCAAATTATGGTTAGTCGATGATGTTCGATTCTTTTCATTTTTACTTCAAACCTCTTAACGGAATCCTCCATTAAGAACTATCGGAGTAGGTTGAGTAATTTCCTCATGGTGTCACTGTGACCGTTATTATCAAAAAAAAATGTCGATAATTTCTGTCTGTACCAGTCGATGGAGTTCATCATTCACCGCATTCTCTGGGATAATCAAAATCAACCATCGAGGGATTAAGGTCTTTAACCACCGGCAGTGGAACCATTTTGAAAAAAATACGGTCAAACCCTTTTGTCGTTTTTTTTTATCGTTTAGGTGTCTTGCAAGAAGTTTCTTGAAATGTTATTTTGTATCTTCTGAAACATCTATATACCTTTTTTCATTAGTGTAGTATTAAAATTAGAAAAATCAACTTTTGTAATGACAAGATAATTTTTTATGTCTTCGGCAAAATTGAAGAACTATGAATTTCATGAAACTTTGCTCAAGACACAAAGTTTCAACGTCATAAGTCTAGCGAGATATACATAGGTTTTTGTTACGACTACCTTCAGTTTTTAAACTTTTTGCAGTTTCTGGCCGCCAAAATTAACATTGTTTGATCAATCATGGTATGATGTGCTAACTATCCAAATATCATTGTCAGATCTACTCGGGTACATAAGTTTTTGAAATAGCCATTTCGGATGTTGTGTATTTTTATTAAGTTTGGCTACTTTTATTACTTTAACTAAACATGTTTGTTTTACTTCATGCGTGAAGTTAACGATTTACATAGTTGGAGATGCTTATCGTCAAATATCAGACATAAAGTAGTAATTTTATACGATAGATGAGGAGATAAAAGTATAGTTCCGTTAGAGTACGGCAGTGTCAAAATTGTATATAGAGAGTAGAAAGCGAGCAAAGGTCAATTTTGAGGAAGGTACGAATCGGGTTGATCATCTCTTTTACCAAACTCCCCCGTTGGTAAGGATGGTGAGGGGTATCTCCAACGCCTACACTGGCAAAAGGGATGATCACCAATTTGCTCACGTACCTTCGATGTGCGGAAACAGTTCTATCGATTGTTTCACACTCAAGTCGCCATCTGACGCAAGCATCTAGTCGATAGGTTTGAAAATTGCAGCTATTGTTGCCTCTACCAACGGGGAAGTTTGGTAATAGAAATGATCAACCCGATTCGTACCTCAAAATTTACCTTTGCTCGCTGTCTACTCTCTATACACAATTTTCACACTGCCGTACTCTAACGGAACTATCAATTCTATCTCCTCACCTATCGTATAAAATGACCACTTTAAGCCTAATATTTGACGCTAAGCATTTCCAACTATGTACTTTTTTTTTTTAAATAATGTTAGCTATTAATTAAATAACAGCATGAAATTGAAATTTAAGTTTAAGATCTTTGTTCCGACATACACCGAAAATTGCTAAAATATTTTACAATATTTATTCGGTGGTGTCAACAGTTACTTTTGGGTCTTTGAAAAACTTGCGATTGTTAACACCTTAAATTTCAAGCAGATGTCAACTCCCTGTTGCTAACATTTCGTGGATAAAGAGTGGCCTCTTGTCCCCATTCATTGTGGCATCTTCCTGTTGGATGGCTCATTTTCTGACCAATTGGCTGATTAAGTTGTTGGAAGGGGATTCTTAACTGTCCCAAGGAAATGACTAGGCGAATTGTCTATCAATCCATCCATTCGTTTTTGATCTTTCATACAGCGATATGATGATGACAATAAGATTTTTTTTTATATCTTTATTAAGGAGACTTTCAGCCCTGGGCAATAAGATGTTATTAAGCATGATCAAGTTCAACAGTGAGGCAAGCCCACAGCTATCGGTTTAATTTCCGTGGTACAATGCACAGTGGTCCAGAATGCAGATTTAGGTGGAATGATATGTTTTGAGCCTGAAATTGAAACTTTAGACTAAAAGTCTGTTCTACAAAGTTGTTCCTTATAGTTAGGCCCTTATTTTGATGAAAATGAATTCTAGGGTGGTTCCTATTATCATTAAAATCAAAAATCTAACTTTTTTGTTTGAATAAATTAAGGTATACATTCTATGGCAAAGTTATAGCTGAGCTAATTTCAAGCAACTTTATTCAAAATAACTTTTTTGTATCTCTTAAATTGGCCGATTTAGAGCTATTTTCTTGAATTGAGTTAGGGTGGCTCTAAAAAAAAACAGTTGTTTTGCTCTAGTTTTCTTATTTAGAATTTCTCAGCAAATGTGTCTTCAAATAACTTTTAGATCTTAAGAAGGCGCAAATTTTTGCCGCACAAAGCTTGTCAATATCTTTCGCCGATCAAGAGTTATTGACGTTTTTATACTAAAAATATGCACTTTTCAAATGTTAATATCTCTGGTTGGGGCAAACAAAAAAAAGTTTTTTTACGGCATTTGAAAGGGCGTATGTTATTCTAATGTGCATATTTTTAGTATAAAAACGTCAATAACTCTTGATCGGTGAAAGATATTGACAAGCTTTGTGCGGCAAAAATTTGCGCCTTCTTAAGATCTAAAAGTTAGCTGAAGAAACCTTTGCTGAGAAATTTGAAATAAGAAAACTAGAGCAAAAATGTTTTTTCAAGAGCCACCCTAACTCAATTCAAGAAAATAGCTCTAAATCGGCCAATTTAAGAGATACAAAAAAGTTATTTTCAATAAAGTTGCTTGAAATTAGCTCAGCTATAACTTTGCCATAGAATGTATACCTTAATATATTCAAACAAAAAAGTTAGATTTTTGATTTTGATGATAATAGGAACCACCCTAGAATTCCTTGTCATAAAAATGAGGGCCTAACTATAAGGAATAACTTTGTAGAAGAAACTTTTAGTCTAAAGTTTCAGTTTCAGGCTCAAAACATATCATTCCACCTAAATCTGCATTCTGGACCACTGTGCAATGACTGGTCATCATCATCATCATCATCATCATCATCATCATCATCATCATCATCATCATCATCATCATCATCATCATGATCATCATCATCATCATCATCATCATCATTAGTAGATCAAACAACGTTAATTTTGGCTGCCAGAAGCTCCCATTTTCATATAAATTTTAACTATTTATATGAAAGCTATTTACAATATAACTGCCTTCATAAAAGTTCGGTATTATCCTCGGATTAAATTCCGATAGCAAATATCGGGCTGGTTTTTGTAGACTTCGATGCTATCAAGGCCGGTATTAAAAGATAATCCGAGTTGGATCTTACCTTTCTAAAAGGCCTAAGTATTCAAAGATCTTATGATTATCGTCAGAAATAAGTTAATATAAAAGATTTTATAAGGTTCTATCCACATGCCTTATAGGTCAACTTCAGATGTCTAATGTTTTGACTCCGAAGGTCTTACGAATAACCTTCAAATACCTCATGCATAAGCTCCAGAGATGGTATTCATCAACTCAGTATACCTTGTGGTTAACTCTTAAGCCCTCACGGAATAAGCTAATGTACCAAATTGGTCAATTCCAGAGGGCTTATGAGATAACTTCGAATATCTTATGCATTCGATTTGGAAATAAAGAACGGTGCTGGCATAGTGGACAGCATCCATTCCTCTCACGCTAATGGTGGTCCCGAGCTCAAATCTCGACATCCCCAGGCAAGTTACAAATTACCTTAAATATCCCAAGTAATACAAATTCATAGAATTATGTTAAGTAAACTACTATGCAACCAACACCAGTCATATAAAGGATATGTAAACTGTTATAGAACACGTGTGTTGCTTGGGATGTGAACTTATAAGACACCTCTAGAGCAGACTCATAGGATGTCTGAAGACAATACATGAGGGTTAAGGATTTATTGTTCTGAGTTGACCCGTAAGGCTTCTAGATTCCGCCCCTAAAGTCATCGTCATATATCCATAGTTTTCTTTTATTATTATAGTTACTTTAAAACAATTTAGGTAATTCGTGACGAAACTTAGACAAAATGCCGAATGGACAAAATATCGAATGCACAAAACGTCAGATCGAATTAATTTTAGGGGCACTAAAGATCGAATCTAAAAGGGTCGAAATGAACAAAACGTCGAATGAAATGTTAATTTTACCTGTCAAATAACTGCTCATGTGGTAAAGATAGAGTCTATTCAACTCCAAGAGTGAGAACCAACTTTCGAGCATTTTCAGCTGGAATGCTCAAAAAGTTTCATCTGCCGAAGAACTGCTCATGTTAAAAATCAGTCAACTACAAGTATGAGAAATAACTTTCGAGCATTTCAGTTACTTGCTTTGCTAACCATATTGACTTTTCGATGTTCAATTCACTTGATATTTTGATTCACTAGAAGTTATTGAACCATTTAACCTTTTTGACCTTTTATACTTTGCAAGATCTTTAGAGACAATCAGTGAGGCTTCTGAAGTTGATATTAGGCGGGTCTTGCGTGAAGGGTTAGTTAGCTTCCATGTCCTCACGGTGAAGTACACGAGGTCGTTTTTCAATCGACAATTTTCTTGATGACATTGTCAATATGAGAGTTGAACTTAAGTTTGTCATCAATAATCATGCCAAGATATTTAATCTCCCGACCGCAATCAATAGTCTCATCATCAATTACAACAGAGACGTTTTCGTTTGCTCGATTCCGCGAAATTGCCATGTATTTAATTTCAATTGCTTACACTTCACTTTTTTTAAGCTTTAGTAGCGAGATTTTTAGCTCATTGGCTAGTTAATCTCGTCACTTACTCTTCAACCAAATATTTAGAGATTGCAAATCTTCATTCAAGAAAAACGGCAACTTTTAAATCCTTAACTGCAATGAATAACACAGTGTCATCTGCAAAAAAATTAATGACATAAAATCGTAAAACACGTCACATGTCATCAATATACATAATAAATAAATGGAGGCCTAATACACTTCCCTGGGGGGGCACTTCACTTTTCCCCACGTCACTGGAAATAGAATCAGTCCGTATAGTTCTGTCACATAAATAGCTTTCAAACCATTTATATGCAGTACTCATTATTCTGAAGCGCTTGATTGTACTTAACAATAAAAGCCTAGAAATTGTTTCAATAGCGCGTTTCAGATCCAAAAAAAACAGCAACAGTCGCATCTTTAAGTCCCATGTTATCTTTCCACTTCACTAATATCAAATTCAACGCAGTCTCACAGGAAAGACTTTCCCGATATCCCGAATGTTCTGATATCAACAAACTATTACTATTTAAATACTTAAACAGCTGGCTTTCACAACAAGTTCTAAAATTTTCTCAAATGTGACCAAATGTGACGGTGGAACGAAACTCTTCGGCTTTCATGGGTACTTTTTGAATAGGAACCGAAATATGCGGCACATGTTCAGTCTGCAATGATTCATTAATAAGTCCAGTGGCCAATGACATGAAAGCAATCTTGAATAACTCCAGCATTAACATTATCTGTTCCAGCCGATTTTCCTTATTAAAAGAAAATAACTCTAAATTCATCTAATGGGTGAAAACCTTCAAATCTACAACTACTATTAACTGGCTGGCTTATTTTATCAGTTTCATCGACCAATTCAATGGATTGATTAATCGATGAAACACTGTCGACAAAAAATCATTAAATTTAGATGTAATTACTTGCTCTGACTGTTCTAATGTGCCATTGAAAGTTATGGACCGCGGTTTGCAATTACTAGCATTTAATAGAGATTTCAAAATTTTACATAACTCTTTGCAGTTGTTTTGATGCTAATCAATCTTCCTGTGGACATATACACAACGAGATTTTTTATATATTGTGTATATATATATATACTAAGCGCGATTATTTACCTATTCCAATGATTATCACTATTTGATCTACAAAACTTTATGTACTATTTGTCCCTCTTACGTTTAAGACGAAATAGATCCAAATTGTACCAACTGTTTGAGTTTTTCAAGAAACAAACTTTTGCTGAACTAATTGATTGATGTACGTTCTCAAAGCGTTGGTTAGAACAGCTTAAGATTCATCTAAATTTCGCTCAAAAAGATCCGTAACAACCTGGGTACTGCGAACACAGCCGTTTTTGTTTTGCAAGTCAGCAGGAAACAACTTGAAAATTTTCCGATATCACAAATTGTTTTGCTAATGCACTGCTCACAATTTGCATATACATGCTGTCGAAAGTTCACCCTTTGCTCAATAAATAACGTGTACATGGTGTTGGGAGTGCACCTACCCACATGACTCTTATAAAGTTTGTTTGCATTCTTCCTTCAGCAGTTCGTGCAGGTTCGTTCGTTCGTTACATTGTATTTGTACTTTTATTTGAGTAAGTATTTGTATTTGAGCGAGTATTTGAGCAAGTTTTTTGTTGAAGAATATTAGTAAAAAAATGCCGAAATGACAATATTTTCAACATTGACCACAATACTTTCTCTGCCGACGGGGATTGTATGAGAAAAGTATCACTTTTAGCAGCTCTAGATCGTTGGATTCTTTTTGACAGCACCAGTTGGATTCTTTTTGACAACCATTTCGTGTTTCTCCGCACCACTCAGGTAACAACCTGTTTCGAATATTTCCTCCAGCACAATTTTACTAAGTCATCGTTATTATTGTTTTTATCTAATAAATTAATCACTAAGGTCTCATGATAGGTTATTTTCTAATCAGTATCCGTAACTGAGCAAATAGAATCAAAATTGTAACAAACTCAATTAAATGTCTACGGTGCCTGGAAGTACGCGTATATTCATCTACCGTTAAAAAAAAATCAGCTGAACTCTTCAAACGATTCTAATTATGGTTTTCACGCCAATTAGTATTAAAATCACCAGCTAATATATTTAATTAACTAGAGTCAACGAACGTCTGGAGCCAGTTCTCTAAAACTTCCACAAAATGCTGGTCACTAGAACTGGGAGAATGATACAAAACACCATAACTATCCATCTACATGCCACGCACAACTGTAATGTCCAAGAACCAGTTACCATCGGTAGCTTCGTTGACATGATGGTCGAATTGAATTGATTCTTTGACGTAAATAGCAACACTGCCAGTGCTGTGCAAATCTCGGCAAAATAAGTTTCACTGAGATCTCAGCAAAAGTGACATTTGATAGCTGAGTCTCGGATAATGCTTAGCTGAATCTCAGCAAACAAATGAAATGTTTGCTGATATCTCAGTAAAACTTATTTTGCCGTGATTTGCACAGCCGAGCTCGGTAGAAAAAACTAAGTGTGTAGAATGCTATAAACAAGCAGCAACAATATATCTCGGAATATTATACTGATCAAGAGCTTCAGTGTGAGTTATGAGTTTCAGCAAATAAAACTTAAAGTGGACGTTTTTCCTGGATCTTGGTTGCTATTTCTTGAAGCCCAAGTCTTTTATAGAGCAAACATTTGCTCTGAAGTAGCCCATAATTTATGATGCTAAAGAACTGTAGCTATGGAAACGTAATAATAAATCGATGAAATGATCCTTAAACCTTGAAAAAATACTCTTTTACTGCGTAGTTACTCAGATTTACTGTCCTGCCGGTGTTTTTTTAGTCAGAGGAGCGGAGCGACAGGTAATCTAGAATGAGCTTACAAAATAAGCTTCTTCTGGAAGCTTCTTTTAGAATATTCTTCTGGAAGCTTTTTCTTTAGAATCTTTGTTGATGCACATTCAAACGTTTGGTGTGCTGGTGCCGTGAATCTTGATCTGTTCTTCCACTGTTTCTATGTTCGGGCACAGTAACGGAAAACACGGACTGATTACACTATTGAACAAGGCTTTATTCGACGGGATACGGGATATAGAACACTTATCTTTGGTCAGTTTGCAGGTATTTTTATTTTTAATTAGGGCAGTTACAGCACGAATAGCTTAAGACCAAAGCCTAAAGACTAATAGATTATTTATATGAGGACATGCTGGGGCTGCTGCTGACATGCTGACTATAAAATCTTCCGATCAGGGTTACTTCCACTCACTTGCTCTAAAAAATGTTTTCAGAATTATGAAATCATTAGATGTTATAATGATAATTAGTACTTGTAAGTTACAAGAAGAGGTCGTCAATATTGCCTTAAGCAAGGTTGCAAATACTCATTTCAGCTAAAACAATGTTTTTTTTTAATTATGAAATAATTAGATGCCATGATCATATTTTGAATTGGTAGGATACAATAAGAAGTTGCAAAGAATGTGTTTGACATATTAAACCTGTTTATTTCACTTCATGAGAGTCACAATCAGCGATTTTTCACACACTCACTCACTCACTCACTCAGCGATCAGCAAATCGCTGATTGTGACTCATAGAAAGCAAAATTTACAGGTTTTATGTTTCAAACGCAAGTAAAACATGCCATTATACCATCATTTGGTTTTATTTTTCCGAAAAACATTATTTTAGCTGAAATGAGTATTTGCAACCTTGGCCGTAAGTGCGTCGCAATCAGCGATTTTACGATTTGTGAGCGCTCACTCTGAGTGAACGCTCACGAATCATAAGATCGCTGATTGTGACGCACTGTAAGAAAAATTTACAGGTTTTATGAGTCAAATACATACTTCACGAACTCTTCTTGTAATATACAAGTACTAATTATCATTATAACATCTAATGATTTCATATTTCTGAAACACATTTTTTTATAGCAAGTGAGTTGAAGTAACCCTGTTCCCGATACTGCCGTATTTTTGGAGGGAGAGTCAATTTGGAGCCGAAGAGAAATACAAATGGTCCTTATGTATATTCTACGACTATTTGTTCGGCACTTCTCTCCTCTGACTAAAAAACGGGTAGGGCAGCATGTCATTAATATTGTTAAAACCATTTTCTCGCAAAAAAAAAAGCATTTTCACGATTGGTTGACTCATGTGCCGCGGACGGTAATTCGTTTATACTTTTCCTGAGATGATTCACCAACAAACAATTAGCGCTATTTTAACATATTATTAATTAATCCCCACTCTTATCTCAACGACCGCGTTAACCGCTCAATCATATACCTATGTACCTACATGTATACGCAGTGCAGTGCTCGAAACCACTGCACCGTCATCGACTTACCGGCAATAGCGACCATTAATGCAATTTTGCTCAGATGCGACAGCTGCGTGATGATGGAAACGGAAATCAGGATCAGTACGGTGAAGTTGCTGAAGTACGACGGAAACAAACAAATAGTCGAAGGGTGCATCTCGCTCGACAGGAAGGACGCATTGGTAACGTTTAGGTGCAGTGGAGTCCGCCCGGAAGCTGCCAGCTAATGGATTGTTGGATGATGGGAAAAATGTGATAAAAAAGATAGGGAGCATGAATCGATGAACAGCCAATAAACGCCGGTTTGATCGATGGTGATTGAAAAGCTCTGTTTTTTGACTCCATTATGATTTTCGATTATCCCGTGAGATTTAATAGCCCTCTAGCAAGGGCACGGTTTGAAATGTAATTTGAATCAACGCCAGTAGCTAAATTGAATTTCTGCCAATCACCAGAGGGAATGAATTAGGTGCATTTGATTTAAATGGAAATGATGCACTTGGGCAGAGAGCCAGAAGAGCTTTTCAGATCCTCTAAACTGGTACAATGATCAACGTAGCTGTGAAAAATTAATTGACCAGAAACCAGTCTAACGAAGCACACTTCACTTACCATATCGCTGGCATTTGATATTCCTAAGAGCAGCACTATTATGATTGCCGTTGATGTGCGTAGACCGACACAGTCGTTAAATCGTTTACTGTTCAACGTGATAAACGCCGGCAGAATCTGTAATATACATGAGAAGAAAAGCAACAGTCGGCATATCATTCAGACCAACAAAATATTTTTAGTCGTAGGTAGGGTTAACTACCCCATTTCCGGCCTATTCAGCACAACCCGCACTTAATCTTTCTTAATCTAGCACTGATGGCTTCCAAATTTATTTACCTTTCCGTACGCAGCGTAAGATTTGATAACGAGAAACAAATTGTTTAGATATTGTTAAAAGTCCAACACTGCTTCTTGACGCCAAACTCGGCCTACGGATTCTAAACTCGGCCTAACGCATTGAAACGCCAATGAAACGCCAGTGAATTCACTTCAGCCTATCGGATGAAGATAAAGATTGATCTGGTCGCAGCGCTTCATTTGTATTTGAGAATATTGGGTGGAAACGTTCATACCACGCGTTCTTATTGACTTCGTTCGGTAGCATTTAAACTAAAGCATCGTAACTAACGCGTAATCTACCTGTTAATGCCGAAATCATGGATTTATTTGATGTATTTTGCTTGATAGGCCCAAAATGGGCAATTATGCCGAAGTAGTTCTGTACCCTATATCACACATTCGTAAATATCTGTAGCTGTTCCGAAATTGCTGGCTCGTTAGAGGAATGGGGTGTCTCGTTTTACCGAGAAATTATTCAAACGTTTGACAGTTAAAGAACCATATTCAGGACGGAGATGCAAATGGAACGGCATAGAATGAAGCAGTGAATTAAATTTTAATACATTTCCATTATTTATAAAGCGTCCAAGTGACAGCTTTCTATACGTTCTGCAAACGTTCGTATCCCCTTCCTTGTATTAATCCTCTTTCTGAAACACTTTCACTGCTCAGCGCTCGAGTAAAAAAAACACACACACAATGTTGCCAGTATAACCTTGTACTTTGTTTCAAAGAGTTCCTTCAATATGGCATCACTACCAGCCGTGCATGGAAATGATAAACTGAAAGATGTGAGAAATGTGATACAAACTGTAATATCAAGACACTAACTCGTCCTGCTACTAGCATCGCATTGGTGACAGAGTGAATACGTGCAGATGTACTGCAGTTGCGGCTGGAACTGATGCCGTCCGGGAGACAGAGCGCAAAATTTATGATTCAGGACTTTTATTCCGTAAAGGATTAACATTTGACGCATAAGAATTTCAAATTTCCTGTGTGCGCTTTCGTAGACACGCTGGCTGCTCCCGGTTTGAATGGTGCACTTTGAACTGAGAGACGTGCCCGGTAACAAGGGGAAGCTTTTCATTTGCATTTTGCATCCAACCGGAAAATGCGGGCTATGGGATTTTGAGCAGTTGGAAGCTTTTGGATAGTGTACATTCGGAGTTGTTGGCAGTTTGAGAATACACAAGTAGGTAAGTATATGGTTTATTGAAATGATTGCTATGCTTAGTCCAGAGACTGTTTATCTCGCAAACATTTGAACAGAATGGAAGTTAAGCTCTGTTTTGAACCAACAATTGAAATTTATACAATAGGGAAGGTTACTTTCACAACCCCCCTTTGCACTTTTGATGTGTATTGTTTGGTCCCCAAAAACTGTACCAAATTTAAACGAATTTGTTTGCGATCTGGATTTACGCGGGAATATTAATGTTTTTATGAAACAAACAGAACAAAAAAATCGAGTCAAAACTTCGCACGTGAGACTAATGCGAATGTTATGACCGTTCCTCCATAGGAGGATTTTTTTTGGTTATACCTTTCTGGCATTCACTCGAGAGGAAATAAGAAGCAGTGGCGCAGCTGGCTATGGACTTGCTTGCAATGTGAGCATCCTTAGGTGTTCCGTCTAGTCAAGAAAAATTTGGATTTGAACACTCTGCAATTCATGGCCCAGCTTAATCCTGTTTAGGAAATTTGAAAATAAAAACTTAAAAAAATGTGCTCTATGTGCGGATAATTCACAGTTGTCCAGAATGCAGATTTAAGTGGAATGATATGTTTTGAGCCTTAAATTGAAACTTTAGACTAAAATTCTCTTCTACAAAGTTGTTCCTTATGGTTAGGCCCTCATTTTTATGACAATGAATTCTAGGGTGGTTTCTATTATCATTAAAATAAAAAATCTAACTTTTTTGTTTGAATAAATTAAGGTATACATTCTTGCGCAAAGTTATAGCTGAGCTAATTTAAAACAACTTTGTTGAAGATAACTTTTTTCTATCTCTTAAATTGGCTGATTTAGAGCTATTTTCTTGCATTGAGTTAGGGTGGCTCTTAAAAAAACAGTTGTTTTGCTCTAATTTTCTTATTTCGAATTTCTCAGCAAAGGTTTTTCCAAATAACTTTTAGATCTTAAGAACATCCAAATTTTTACTGCACAAAGTTTGTCAATATCTTTCGCCGATCAAGAGCTATTGACGTTTTTATACTAAAAATATGCACTTTTCAAATGTTAATATCTCTGATTGGGGCACTTTTTTATTTGAAACTTCTCATGAAAGTCATCTTCTAGAGACTTTTAAAACTCTTTAAGATGAATGTTTTATAGCTGAATTTGTTGCCTGTATTTCTTCTAATAAAAAAGATATACCCAAATATAGTAAAAATATGAATAAATTCAAATTGATTTTATACGAGTTTAAAAAATAACATACCTTCAATTTTTTTCATATTATTGAGAATAAAATACTCGCTTTCAAATGCCGTAAAAAAACATTTTTTGTTTGTTTGCCCCAACCAGAGATATTAACATTTGAAAAGGAACAACTTTGTAGAAGAGACTTTTAGTCTAAAGTTTCAATTTCAGGCTCAAAACATATCATTCCACCTAAATCTGCATTCTGGACCACTGACTGTGCAATGGTCCACCGATCGCTATTTCACATGCTTCAAACGCTACTGCAGCGTGAATAATGTGAATAATAGAGTGGTCAAACTAGATCCTACTCGCGCTAATATCTTATCGTCAACAACGTCAGAATCCACGCCCGTCACAGTCGAACATCGCCACTTTTACCGTATTTCTGTATGCTCCTGCAATCCGAGTTGTCCTGTGTTCGAAATCAGTGACAAGGGCTTCCATCTTGCTCTTTCAGATAAGAGGTAAGTATCAATCTGTTAGTGCCGCTTCTTGAAGTTTCTCCTGGTTGTAGGAACGATTTCCAATTTTCATGCAGAAGCTCTCTTGTTATGGTAGACCTCCCAGCCTAAGCCTACCGTGGAGTCAGCCAAGCGCCTTTCCAATCTGTTTTCAGACGCACCGTAGAAAGCTTTTTGGAAGACCCTGTTCCCCTCGACCCAGTCCGGCCTTATGCAGACAACGTTCAACGCAGTCTCGGTCCTGTAGCTTGCCCAGGTATTTAGACTTTAGAGACGAATCGTTGGATTAAAGAGAGGATTTTCCAGCCTGCTCCAGCAGTACCACGTAAATGTAAAGTTGGCTCCATCACCTCCCTCATTATGAAGTAATGAAATTGGGTTGTTAGCGGAATGCTTAAATAAAACAGCAAAAAAGGTTTCCATTTAATTCCACTTAATTAATTTTGGTATCCATGACAGATACTCAAAATTGTGGTGGTAATTTAATACATCTCCGATCTGGTAGTCGATGTCTATGCGACTTGTACACAAATTTGAAAAAGTGGGATATTGATCAACTTTCTAGACGTTTAATTCAAGTAAGTTAAACGTCCAAAATAAATCTGCTAAACAGGGCTAGATGGTGTTGCTAGTACTCATTTTATTTAGGATCGAAGATGGAAACAGATTTACAGCAATTCCTTTTAAAAAGGTTAGAGTGGATCTTAGAATATCTTAGCAGTTGGTAATTTTGATACTTATCGAAAAATATTAGACTCGTATTTTTTTTATTTCGCCATTAGGGTGTTCCTTTTCGTGATAGAGTGGTCTGAAAAATCAGTATTTTTCTTAATCACTATTTTTTTTCCAATCATAATTGTGACCGTGACAATTTTTTCCCAAAGGAATGTGTAAAAAATATAAAAGGATTGGGTTGCATAACATTTCGATGCGTTAGAAATATTTATTCAGCACTGAATATGAAAAAAACGACTTTTTGCAAAAAATCTCATCGAGGCTACCTCTAAATCACATATTCCATAGTTGCCACCATACAAAAGTTTTTTGTAACATTCTTGGCTATCATTTGGAGGTTGAGTCCCAAGGTTTTCAGACAAAGTGTTATTTTAGACCATCCTAGTATACACACTAAGATTTTGTTTCCGTGTTCGGTAAATTTTACCGAAATCAAAACAGCTTCACGTTCGGTAAAACTTTGGCCTTCATTTTAAAGGCTATTGGATTTGAAAATAATTTCAAACAAAACATGTTCAATCTTGTAGGAAGCCTCTCTTAGCTCAGTCAGTAAGGAGGTGGCTGGGCTCGATTCCCAGTTCTAGGAATTTTTCGGATACGAAAATTTCTCGACATCCCTGGGCTGTACCAATGCAAAAATGGAACAGGCATCGAAAGCGAAAGCAAGTGAAAAGAAATTAGCTTGAAATGCGAAGAAGAAGAAGAATAAGTTGATTGATCTATCAGAAAGTCATCGGCATCGAAATCAATTAATACCTAATTACATTGAAGTCTAATCAAAAAGTGGTCTTGAGGAAAGTTTTAGCTGATTAAATTTCAAATAAGAGCATATAGCAAGCCTATACGTAAATTATTATGTGCTAGGATGTTGAGAACAAAAAGTTAAAAATTTCCCATAGTTATTCCCATATAAACTTCAAAGAGTCAGTGCAGTATGAATTTGCTTCCAAATAAACTCAAATTTTGAGTGCACGATCAGGACCTGATTTAGAATCGATTGAGCCTGGTGGAGCATAATCGATATTTTGAACCACTCTTGTGCATATGCTAGTCCTAGATCCTGATTTATTCATGTAGCATCAGAACAAGTGATTTCGAAAACATCGGGGTGCTCCAGGAGACGATTCATAAATGAGCAGGGGTTCTAAAATTGGTCATAAATATGCTACATCATTTATGGATGGATCTTTTTTACGACTTGACTACTACGG